CAGGAGACAGTCTTAACAGTGTCCTGGGGGAGAGGAGGCAGACACGCGATAGCAGGAATGCTTGCATTTATGAGCGTGGGGGCAGCCACAAGCCTTTGCCCTTCTTTCCGACGGGGTGAGGTGATCAAGAACCCATGGCAGGTCCTGCACCATGCCCCCTAGGCCTGTGCTGCCACAGCCAATAGCTGTCCTTTCCCAAGGGAAGCACAGCCGAGCTCGAGGTGTTCCTCCTTTTTCCCCTGCCCACTGCCCAGTCTGCAAAGATGTGCTGGGGTACAAATGCTTCTGTGGTCCGTGAAGCTCCAAGAGTACAGGGAAAGGAGCACTGCTGGGCAGTTATGGAGCCACTGGAGCTTCTGCAGGGCAGGTAACTCCTGCAGCAGCCTTGCACGCAGAGGGTACCAAAGGGATTTTTAAAATAAATTCCTCATTCCTCCATGTATCCTAGCAACACCTCTCTGAGGTTAGAGATGCGATGCCTTGCCCACCTGTTGCACAGGAAGCCTGAGGCAAGTTACATATTGCTTTCTTCCCAGCTCGCCCCACTAGTACGAAGCTGCAGTGACTAAGGAAGATGCCAGTCAGCACACCCAAGCTGGGTGTCACACACAGGCGTCCGCATCTCTAAACACCATGAACTCGGCAGTGGCTCACGCAGTGTGTGTGTGGTCCAAGGAAAGCTCTTGCTGACACAGGCTGAGATCACATTGCTTTGTGATCAAGGCAATAAAAAGGGGGTAGCCTTAATCCCCACTGCAAAAATGCTTTATGTGCAGTCACACAGTGCTGAGGGACCTCAGGTCCTGAGCAGGCATCTAAATAAGATTTCTAGAAGAGTCATAGGTCCAAAACGTGCGGAGTGAACAAAACTGAAAGAAAATTCGATTCTTCCCATGCCCTTCCCTCCAACCTGATCGAGCTGCAATATAATTATAGTAAATGAGAAGTCCTTGTTAAAAAACAAAACAAAACAAAACAAACAAAACCCAAGAAGTTGGTTGAAAGATTGAAAAACAACCTTTTTTATAAGAGATGCCATTCTTCCTCCTCCCACCACCCAAGAACCCCTTAGTATTTTTGATTTGTTGTGGGGGAAAAAAGATACTGAAAATGTTATAGAAATTACCATAGAGCTTTAAAATTTTGTTTCACAGAACAATTTAAACTAAACTAATCAAAATTGAAAAAAAACCCACAACCTATTACAAAAATCTGTAGAAGGGGAAATTTACAATGGATCATTTTATACACCCAGTGAAGATGATCCTTTTCCTATGATCCTCCTACCCATCAGATTGGATTTCCTTTCTTTGGCTATTACCGACTAAATCCTTTCAGCTACAACATACATTTGTTACTCGAACCTCAGTTACCTTAAATACATCATTTACCTGCATTCCTGCAAAACAACCAAATAAGAAACTATAGTTTTTGCTGCTTTTTTTATGTTACTGAACTAATCACTGCTAAGTCCATTTTATTCTAATATATTAAAGGGTTGCACAGGCACATGCAGGGGAGCCTCTGTCCCCAAGGGCAACAGGGGAGATGAGGTTATGACTGCTCAGTCAAAGATACATCATTTGCTGTAGATCTCTCTTATTCATCTTCACTCAGAGGAAAATATGGGATACTTCATAAGTGGTTTTGGCACCTGTGAGTTATCCTTCTTTTCCCACTCATGAAGATAAATGCTGTAATGAAACGCAGTCATCAGGTATTCTCTATATTTGGAGTACTCAAAGTGTGAACAATGATTATGCCCTTTCACTGGATAAGTTAAGGTTGACTGCCTAGCTACCTGGGGAAGACAGGAATGATTTGCACTAGCTCACAGGCAATGAATGGAAGAAGGTGGCATACCTTCTCCCTCAGCATTGGTTATCCTGCTAATCTTAGGCTGAATAATACCTTCAGTATGTCAAACCGTCCTTTTTACTTTAAGGCTACTTGGCAGCTGAATCTGCAAGCTGAGATGAATCCAGCAGAGATGGCAGCAGCCACTTCATTAGTTCAATGTCTTGTTTGTTTTTGACACTTCTGTGGAACCACTGAATAAGTTTTTATAAAAAGTGAGACAAGGATTTTTATAGGTAAGAGTTTTTGCCAGTGTCACATGAATTTTAGGACATGGTCCTGCCTGCGCTACACACATAAAACTCCTTTGTAGGTTGACAGATATCATGAGTGAGAACTGGATCATGTTTTCTCTGTGAGACAAAACTTACTGCCTTCATAGCTGTCACTTTTTTTATAGCATAAGGGAGGAAATTCAAGCATTTAAAGTTACAATTAAATATGAAAACCTGATAGACATATCTGGCAATAAAAACACAGCTGCTAACAACACAATGAAAATAATGCACAGGGAGGCTGAAACCCTGTCTCTGGTTAAGTATGAGGATAATCTGCAGGGGAGAGCAGCTTCCTCATTTAACACAGAAAATAGTGTTTGTAGTTGTATATCATTCAGTACTGGGTAGAAATACCCTCTGGATCCCATCATCCAGACACTGCACAAGTAAGAACAGAGCCTCCCAAACTTCTGTGAACAAGGCATAAGCCCTGGAAAGACAGTTCTTCACATGCGAGGTGGGAGTTATGTTTATATTTTACTCAAGTGGAAGAGATGCACCATTCAAAGCCTATCTCCTGAAATCTGTACTGGACTAGAGGCTTGAAAGATGCAAGCTCGGGGGGGTTGCTTCCTCTTAAATTTAATAACAAATCACTGGTTGTTTCTGGTGTGAATATGGAGCAGCTGGTAGATACAGGATAGGTTCAGACACAGCTGATCTATCACAGTCTTGCAATATCACTGATTCCCACATCCATCACTCATTTTTATGCAGCTACTAATGCTAAGGATGTGTTACGAAAAATAAATTAAGTATTAATATGCTCCAGGAAGAGCATCTGCAACAAGAAGCAGGTTGTAGGTTAAAATAGCCAGGTGCATCTTAACCAGCATACAAAATGGTCAAAGAACAGCTGCTGAAGAGACTCCTGAGGCCCTGGCACATGCTATCTAGAAAATATTAAGAGTATTTTCAAGCACACACTGGCTCATATTCAGCACCCAGAAGCTATTTTAAGTGCTCAGTGGAGACAAGCCAGTGTTATTAGGGCACTTTTCTTCCAAGAGACAACAATACATACTGAGCCAAATAATCCCATCAGAAGCCTTTGTAAACACCTAAATCAGATGAAGCGGCTGGATGATCTCATGTTAGGAAAGATTTGGAGGCCGAGCTAAGGCAGGTTTTCTTATGACACTTGGAAAAAAAGTCAAGCTGTTTGCTGGGAAGTTTTGGTGCTGTGCCTATTATATAGAAGCAGCTTCCAGAGAGAACCTGTGGAGTCAGATGAATTGCCTATTGGTGCAGGGCAGCTGGTTCAGGAAGAAAACCTTGAGCCAGAGCCTGCAAGACAAGGTTTTTCCCCTTACTGAGCAGCAAAGCCATGGCTAAATGAGCACTGAAAATACAACCCTCACTTCCTGGCAGAACAGCAGTCTCAGACTCAAGAGATAAGGGTTCTAGTTCTTCTCTGGCCTTGGCCTCACAGCAACTTTCTGTCTCAGTTTCACCCAGCCTAATGTTTTACAAGGCATTACGAGACCCACAGACAAGAAAAAAGTATACGTAGAAACAGGTAATACTCTTATTACCCGATGCTATAGCTCTGTATTATGTGAAGGCACAGACAGACACAATGAACACCCTAAATCAGAAAGATGGGAGGAAATACGGGAATGGAAGAGAGGGAAATTGGATTATGACAGTGATAGAGAGAAGAGTAGTATAGTAGATGGCCAGGATTTAGAGACCTTGGGAAGCACTCTGATACCAGCCTGATGGTCTCAGTAAAGAAAATTGTTAAAAATATGACCAGAAGAAAGAGCCTAAGCAGAAAGAGTCAGCCAAAACTGTTCTATTTTGTAAAGTATTTCAAGCCTCCTATTCCCTCCTGTTTTTGAAAGCTTAGCTGTAAAGCCCAGTCAGGCTTGAACAACAGGGAACTGTAAGCCCTTGTGTCCCACTCTGAATACTGCAACACAGAAAAATCAGAGAGTGAAAGGTGCCTAAATATAGTTCAGAAGGCTCCCACCTTATACTCAGGTTCAAACTCTACATCCAGCTCGGGTCAGTGATTTTCAGTCAGAATTTAGCCACTAGCAGAAATAAGGCCATTTCAAAATCACCAAAGCTTAGGGTAGAAATGATCATAGCTGATGATAAAGGTATAAACAAGGTATAAATAAAATACTTCCAGTGAACTCCCTAAAAATAGTTTGCCACTGCCTGCACTTTATTAAGTTACAGTCCAGTGTTATTTAGCCAATTTTTAATCTCCCAAACCACTGACTGTAGATCCTCAGCTGAGAGACTTAAATGTTGATCTACTCTGCATTATGATCCAGCCCTGAATTTACAGATGAACATAAAACCATGGGCTTGGCTTACATTTTTGTCTCAAGGAAATAAACACTCTTCTCGCTATATATAATGCACTATTTTTGCTTAGAAAAGGGAGTTCTAAAATTAAATACACCAAAGATACAGCCTCTCCCTCCCGCCCCCTTCCTCTCTCCCTCCTGCCCAGTGCAGCAGCAGCGGTTGCAGAGGCAGAGGGGATGCTAAAGCTAAGCTAACTTGGCAGGAAATATGTAACACCTGAAGCAGCACACGTGCAATAACCAAGGATCACAAGGAAACCAACATGATCACGATATCAAAACCAAGAAGAAAGTTCATCTGCTCTTTCAACAACTATTTTTGTTTCAGATACGCTTTCGGCATGACTTCCATACACAGCCTTTGATCAGAATTGGGGAAAGAACACTTGTGAACCAGGAGGAGTGCAATGTACAACTGCCAGCCTCTCATGGTACCTCTGTTATTTGTAGAATGCAAGTGACTGAGGGCACTGGGGCAAATATTCAACAAGCTTGTTTTTCTTCTTGTGACTAGTCCATCACATTTGCAAGTTTCACTTACCTGTCAAGTTCTTCAAGCCAAGTTCCCTGAGTCCAAAGTTACCATCCTTTCTGTAGTTAAGAAATATCGCCAAAGCATATCGCTCTTCATACAGTTTGGTCCCACGAACGATGCGCAGGTTCTCCAATGGCAGGTATTCAAACTGATTCAAAGCCACCAAAACGTAGCCTGTGACTTCTCTGATGGACTGAAGGGCAAAAATGAAACAAGCGCATTAGAAATGGTCCATTTTTAATTGTTCTGAATTTCTCATACAGTGGATGCTTTAGTATGAGATGCTGGTACCCAAGAAAAAAAAAAAACAAACAACTCTGGAAGACAAATTCTGTTTTAACGTATTGGGTTTAAGCACATTTCTGTTTCAATTTAACTGAATTTATTAGAGATACTTGTTTGGAAAGTAGAAAATAGGTAGCCATTCTTCTCATTTTGAGCAGAAATTCACAGCAAATATTAAAGATGCACAAAAGGGTGACTTTGCAGAACTCAAAGCACAGAGGAGGTCAAAGGCCTCTGAAGGACAGGAGCAGAATCCACTGGGGCAATGCCACAGTTTAGATAAGACTGACTGTCTGCAAGAAACTTTGTTGTACAGGATATTTCAGGGTGAGACCAAAAGGACACAACATGGGGTAAGTGGGACACCTCTGGAAGAGCTCACCATCGAGCAGGAACAGATGGTAGGAAGGGGGTGGTAAGTTTGGAAGAGTAAATAAAGACAAAGCACATATGTATTAACGCCCACTTTTGTACTTCTAAATGCAATCAATCACTGAACATTTGCAAAGATTCAAGTTTCATTTGGAAGTGCTGGAACCATACATGCTATATATCCCAGACTTTGATCAAAACCGGTATATCAAAACCTTTAGCAAAATGATTGCTGCACCTTTGGGTTGGCTGAAATCTTTGTTTGCTTTAGATGAACTACTGAATAACCCTCTTGCTCATCCTCATGAACTAATTGCCTCGGTTGTAAAGGGAAAAAAGACCCCAAAACCCAGTAACTAGAAACATTTTTTCAAAGTCCATAAGATTAACAGAACTGAGACATTCTTAGAAAGAAAAAAAAGATTTAAACGTATGCTTCTTAAAAAAAAAAAAAAAAAAGTTCCTTCTAAAGAATTTAAATAACTAGCCCAGAAATCTGAAAAAGTCTCTGAAAAGTGTTGCTTCAGCATTCACAGAGAGCCCCACAATCCTCAGCAGGACTTCACACAGGCTGAGGGATCCTCCTGCCCAGAGCTGCTCCCAGAAACAGGAACTCTCAATACGGTTTTCAAATCTCACTTAATTCCATGTGTGAAACAGCCTGCAACCACTGTATATGCATATATTTATGTGTGCATGTATATTTAATGGACAGAAATTGATATAACTACTTGTGTGTTTAAGTGGATGCATGCACTTTTTTCTTCCCTTTGGCAAAGTCAATACCTTAAACGATACACAGAAAGAAAAATTCTGCTTAGAGTAACGTGCACAGACTATAACTAACATGATGGGGACTCCAGTCAATATCGTAATAAAAACAAACAGGCAAACAATAGCAGGCATCGAATTACATGTGTTGTGTATGTATCATTAATAAAGAAAGGCAACATGGATTTGTAGCACAAAGGACAGGCTTTTGCTTCACTGGTTCAGCATTGCTTGCCATGATTTCATGCCTAAGTGTGCAAGAGCCTTTTAATTAGGTTTGTAAAAGTTTGTAAGATTATTAAAAAGTGTGGCAATATACATAAGGAAGGATTTATATACCACAAACTCAATGCACTAGCTGTCCTTCTGAAGTCAGTTGTCTCTGCTCAGCTGAAGCTGCTGAAAAAGCTCTGGAGCTATTTCAAGACTTGTTTGGCATCTAAACGGAGCACAGTGTCATTACAGGACTTTGATGAGAACCCAGTGAGTGAAGCTAGGTTAAGAAGTATGGTTCAGTAGCTCAATATTAAATGTAGAACTGCATTATACCCTGGGACACTGGTTCCATTATAATTAGAAGCTTTCCAGCACTTTCACAATAGCTCTTTGCTTTCAGACATTTCAGCTTAGCCGGGCTGCTCAGGAATTTGTTTTTTCATCGTACGCAAAAACCTCCTTTTTTAGCCTCGCCTCAGAATTTAGGAAATATGAAAATTATACTCGTGGTTTCAATTTCCCCACTGATATTCTAGGGATACTGTGATTGCTCTAATTAATTTAAAGGGATGTTTAACTCCAAATTGAGTTGAAAAAAATTAAAAGCAGTTCCACAGCTGCATATGATCAAGTCCTCCCTGCCAATTTTTGTCACAACCAACCAACCACATTTTCTACTTTTACAGTATGATTTATTTACTGCTGAACAGCAAGTCCACCTGAAAGGGCCCTAATTCAGCATGGCACTGAAATTACACACACACATACACTCAGCAGCAGTTCTTAATTCCAAAATAAAAAAAAAAAAAAAAAAAAAAAAAAAAAAAAAAAAAAAAAAAAAAAGAAAAAGATAGGAAAATAGGAAAACAACAAAGTTCTGTTGTTTATAATTTTGAACTACCTCAGAAACCCTGTACTTGGTTTGGTTGGTTTATCCAACTGAAATGACAAATTATGGCAAGTATTTTGATGAGCCCAAGGGTCCTTCCCAGTCTCATAGCTTTCATCATATTGCAACACCTATTTATTTGCTGGAGAAACTACCACATTAATCCTTGCAGAACAAAATTATGAAAATAAATTAAAAAATCAGGTTTTTAAGTTAATGGAACATAGAAACATGACTGACCAAATCTAATGGTCTATTAATTTGTGGGTTTATTTTTTAATTCAAAATTGACTGAAAAAGGCAGAACAGTAACACATTGTGCCAGATGGTGAGTTTTCTGACTGGTCCAGCTTGAAAAAACATACTGGGAGTGCAGCAGGCAGCTCAGGTTTTGGCCACTTCTGGGCAATGCTGTCACTTTGCCAGTAACTGCAAGTTTTGACATGATTCTTACTGAAAATGGACACCTGCCTGTTTGGAGCTCACTCCAAACCCTGTTGGAGTCACTGCAAAGATGCCTGTTGGCTTCCAGGCAGACTCACAAATCCTCACACCAGACAGGATCAGCTGGCCTGACAACCTCCTCTGCAACTCATGACAAGATTAGGCATGATTTGAACCTCTCAAACTTTTATACAAGGCTGAACAATTTCCTCTTCAGGTATCCTGAACTCAGGTATAAGCTCAGGTATCCTAATGCTCTACTTGAGCTGCTTTTGCTTCAGTTCTAATCTGTGTTCTACCAAGAAGGCAGAGTGACTCACAGGAGTGGTAGTTCAAGTGTCACCTCCTAGTTTCCTTTTCCTGCTAGTGCTGGAGGTCTTTGAAAAAAAAAACATAAAAACAAACCAACCAACCAACCAACCAAAAAATCCAAAACAAAACAAAAACTCATTAATCTGTCCCTCAGGAAAGAAAAAAAAAAGGAGACAAAAATGCAAATAACTGCATTTGTTCCTATAACCTAGAACTGGAATGGAAAGAGCACAGACTAATCACTAACAGACTTACAGCTGAAAGAATCCAACAGGAAAAAACAAATGAATTCTGGCAACATCTAATCTTTATTGCTGACCACTGTGATTTTGCAGGACACCCCCCTAATCCCATTATCACATTATTTTGACTGGGAACTCCTGGCCAGCATGATCTTGCCTTTCCTTGTCACCTTTCCAGCTCCTGAGACACGACCCATTATGCGAAGAAGCCATCGAGTGAGGCAGCATCAGGCTCTGGCTCCCACAGCACTCCTGCTGCTTTGGTAAATGCGTTTTGGCTCCCCCAAGTTGTTTGGGCACAGCAGCAGGAATGAGCGTACAGATTTGAACGAGGAAAAGGCTGAAAACTCACAGGCTCCCTGTTGCGAAGGGACAAGGGACGCTGTTCATCGAGCCCCCTGAGCAAATGCCTGGCTGTTCAAAAGCAGATGAGGAAACACCTCTGGGGATTCAAGAGCCCAAGGTGTCTGCCTCTCTGACCGGGCCTGTTAGGTATCAGATCCTGAAATAAGAAAGGGCATGCTTCTAGCAGGAAACAAAAGGGGGTGGGGAGGGAGGGAGTGGGTGGTGGTATTAATCCTTGACGAATCTAAAGCCTCACAAGTTGCTACAGGATTCAAGTTTGATATATTTACCAGAGAAAAGCTCCTCGTCTACCTTTTCAGACAGCAGATGAGTACTTGTACTCTACAGCTTGCTAGCCGTAGGGCCAGAGCTGCCCTGCACCCCAAAACCAGGCACGGTAGCCTAGAAACCAGTCTCCTATGCCTCTACTCTCCCCAACATAGCCAACCCTTTTTTTAAACCTAAAACCACGTTACCATTCAATGACAAATGTCTCAGTGAAGGCTGTATGTACTAAAACTCCTCGGGCCTCCAGGCGCCACCCCGGGTGGCTGCTGCACCTTGGGGCTGCCACAACACACACACATGTTGGCCGTCACAACACACATACATGTTGGCCGCCACAACACACATACATGTTGGCCGTCACAACACACATACATGTTGGCCGTCACAACACACACACATGGTGGCCACTGCTCCCCTCAGCTGTGCTGGGGCAGCCGCTTCAGAGGGTGCAGATGGGTCTGTTCAGGGCAAACAGAGAAAGAGGGTGCCAAAATTGCTCCAAAAATAAAAGGCTTATTTTCAGAGGTTATTTTTCAGGTGATTAACTGTAAAAACGAGCTCTAGACAACCTGTTCCCTTTATTACAACTAATATTAGCTGAGAACAAGTAAAGCATTTTAAGTTCCCAACAGCAAAACCAGAATTATCCTGTCAGCTGGGAGTAAAAGGCAAGACTGTTCCTTGCCATCTTAAATCGTCCTTCGGCTCAAGTCAAACGAATCTGAGTGAAACGGAGCAAAATAACAGTGAAAACTTAATCATTCTGCCCAGAACAACAGATCAATGAACGATTAGGGAAGCTGATGTTTCTCATAAACACTACCAAGTCTTCTTAACATCTACTGGGGAAGGTTAGGCTGTGGCTAAGGCACCAAAGAGAGCTATATCGTGGGGTTTTATTTCAGTTGCAGACACATTATTTATCCAGTCACTGAACCTGATATGTTAAAGCCCTTGCTGCCTCATCTGACTGGACACATGTCCCAGCTCAGGAGCTGGAGCAACAGCAACCTGCTGCAGGGGTCAGTT